CCTGATAAAATTAGTACTCTTGATTGGATGCAGTCCGCTCTTCGTGATTTCCTGCACTACTGAGTTTTCAAATAGAACTGAAATTTCTATCTCGACAAAATCTAATTGGTCTTAGTACTCATTTTATATTTCTTCCTATTGCTGGAAGTCTAGTACTTCAGACAAAGACTTACCAGCTTAAACAACTTTAATATGACTAGCTTCTGATTTCTGAATCTGCAATAAGGATACATCTGATATATTCATTGCACTCAACTGTGCTCCCAGAACCACTGGATATCTCAAGAAAATGATTTTTAATTAGTTAATTATTTTGTTCCAATTTTATGCATCTCTCCGAACACCCAAGAGACCAAATAATCAATTAGATTTTCAGAAAAAACTATGCTTACTGCTTAAAACGCGAATAAATAACCCATTGCAATACTACTTCCAGCTAAAAAGGCATATATAAACGTGCATTTAACATGTAAAGTTACAAGGATTACAAGGAGAAATTCCTAAATTCCGTGTTTTACAACTAAATAATCATTGCAAACACGGCATTATAATCAATACACTATCATTAGTGTTTTACCATTGATATCAGCGCAAAAATAAAGGATTTTTTTGTCTGATTATAGAAAGAAATGAAAACATATTTAGAGGGAGAATCATGCGAGGTAAAAAGAGAAACGTACAATTTAATTGCGTCAGATAAATAAAACGTGATGAGATCGTTGCAGAAGGCGACAGAGAGGAGCGACTAGCAAAATTCCAAAGCTGAAATCAGTTCGAATTTAAAAATAAACAAAGTAAAAGAAGATAGCAGATCGAATTTGGGTCCATTTGCTTGTTTTTTGGGCCATTTGCAGAATGGTCATTATTAAGGGATAGTGATAATAGACATTTAATATCACTTATTTTTTTATACTTTTATACCTGACCACTCTCTCTCCCTACTCTCCTCCTCTCTTTTGTTTTTTTCATTTTTTCTTCATTTGTGTTCTCTATTTTTTTATGTTTTCGTATTGTATCAATGAATTTCAATCGTTTTGACTTAACAATTTCCTTTCATGTTGCACAATTGGTGTTCAAATTTAAATTATCAATCAATAAATTTTGAAAGTGTTTGACTTTCCACCATTGACAGTCATTAAAAAGTTTTGAAGCTTTGAAATTGAATTTGGATTTTCAAAAATCATTATTTATTTGGATTGGGTGTTGTTGCAAACAATTGGGAATATTGTTTGAAATTTATATCTCAATTTTGAGAGTGTTTTGGTGAAGATTAGACTTGATTTTGGCCGAATTTCAGATTGAAACTCGGAAAAAAAATATGGCATACAATATACTTACGAAATTATAGTAAGGTTGTATTATAATTATATGTAAATTATACTCTGTTGTAGCTATATTTTTTTTTTTATTTGAATGTTGTATGAAAGTTGAAAAATAGTTATATAGTGTATGAATCGTTGTATAAAATTTGTATTGAAGTTATCAATACTACCTTTTTACGTAAAGTTGTTGATATGTATCAAAATTGTATTAAGAGAGTAAGTTTTTATAGGAATTTTAGAGAGGAAGAAACACACACCACATACAAAATATATACAAATCAGATACAAAAATATACAAAAGACATATTGTATAAAAAATATATTTAAGTTGTATGTTATTGAAGTTGTAGTTAACTGGGTAGAAATAATATATGAAAGTTGTAAATAAGTTGTATAATATATAATTAGTTGTATGAAAATTATTTTTACTATGTATAAATCAAATACAAAATATACATAACACATATTGTATAAAAATTATATTTAAGTTGTATAATATTGTAGTTGTATTTAACTAGGTAGAAATAATATATGAAAGTTGTAGATAAGTTGCAATTAAGTTGTATAATGTATAATTAGTTGTATAGTATTTGTTTTTACTATATATGTTGTTGTAGATATTCAAATTTGCATTAAATTTGTACGAAATTTGTTTTTAATTTGTATGTTGATGTACCGTATACTGTTCTTTTCTCGGTTGATTTATTAAGAAAAGAAAAGTAGAGAATGAATTCTGAATCGACACATGTACACTGATTCATATTTGTTTGAACGGTAAAACTTGAATATTCATGGAAACTTAACGATTTGGGTGGAGTGAAGCGAAAAGAAAGGGAGTCAGGTCAAAAGTTCATGGTGGATCGATGCTTGGATGGATCTTCGAGCTATTGGTAAATCTGACTGCTTATCAGGTACTCTAAGCTACTATGATATATACGAAATAAAGAGGTGATGGAAGGGCCCTCTACAAATCTGCTAGAATTTGTGGCTCAACTCATTTCATCGACAATCCTCACCGGGTATTCCTAGATATATGTTGTTTGCGTTCAAGTTGGAAAGCCTCGTGTGGTTGTCCAAGGGTATGTTGACTACTTGGATGTCGAGATCATTAGATACATAGGCGTTGATGTTCAAAATTGAGACTTATTACTTGTGTTATTTACATTTGAAGATTCTGCTATTTGACCCAAAAAAAAAAAAGGTAACTTAAGCAGTATCTCATGGCTTTGACGGACAGAAATCCCTAAATATAAGTTCGATTTGGAGAGAAGAGGGGAGAGAGGAGATAAAAAAGGAAAATGATGTAACTAAATCCCTTGATTAAAGGCACTAATAATGGATTATGAGCCTTTTAAGGTGAAATGCATATAATTTGTAAGTAATCATTGTTTAGGGAATTAATATACAAAATTAGAACAATTTTGGAAAATAAATTTCAAATATTGTATAGGAACAAAAAAAATACCATTATTAAAGCTACTTTTTAAAACATAGCTATAAATTAAAAATGAATGCACCTTTAGCCATTTTATGATTACACTATAAATATTTCATTAAAAGTGGTAATTTGACCCACTTTTATATTGCCACATGAGCCTTTTCCCTATTAAATTAATTCATTAATCATGATAGATTATTGTGTTTGCATTTTAATTAGTACTCATATATTTATTCAAAAGTGATTGAAATAAAATTGAAAGTTGAATTAGACATACCTACATTAAATCCAATCAGCATACATCTTTCTAATTTTTACGATTAAGTTAGATATTTTTCATAAATTCCCAGACACTTTTGTTCTACAGCTGACTTCCCATCTTCATCCACACATCTCTCCTCCATACGGCCTCGGCAGCCATAGCCAACAAAGAGGGAAGCAAATAGAAGAAAGCAAGCGGGCATCAGCCGCTTAAAATAAAAATTGGTTATATTTGCAAATTTTCTAAAATTTGCAAAATTACATACAAGGCCCAACCTATGTTTTAAAAGGAGGGGCATGAGGCTTAAAAGGAGGGGCATGAGGCGAGGTGTTTTACCTTTGACGAGGCGAGGCATAAGCCCTGAGACATGAGTCGTAAGTCTCATGGATCTTTAAATTTTACTAATTTAAAGAATTTTAAGATAGTATAAAATAAAAAATAATTATAAAAATTACATTAAAATCACAAAATCATAACAAATAATTTATTTAAAATATTTATAAATTATAATTCAACTATGAATAATACGAAAAGTATGACATATATCATAATATGCAAATTAGCTGCAACGTCGTTACAACTCAAACATCAAAAGTAATGTATTCGATACGAAATCTTATATATATCTCTTAAGGAGTCATAAATCTTGAAAGAATTTCGATATTATAATTTGATATTTCTCTTAAAATACTCCCTTTATTTAATATGCTTTCTATTTGAAAGAGAGTTTATATAAAAACATAATTCATAATTTAAATATAATTCTCTAGCATAATTTATATTTAAGTTTCAACAAGTCAATAAAGTGACACATAATTCATCATACAATACCATGATAACTAATTATTTGTAAATAGTTAATAGTTAATACTGAGCTATTAAATTTAAAAAGTATTGTATCTCATAAACGCAAAAAAAAAAATTAGGAAAATAATTATAAAAAAAATTCTGGACTATTATATAATAAAGACATAACAAAAGTTAATAAATAAATACCTTTTAAATGAAAGATTTATTTAAAATTTAATATTATAGCAGTCTTAGTGGATAACGTGCAATAATTTTTATTTTAATTATGACATAAAATACTCTCAACTTAATGATTTATGATTAAGAAAAAAATAATTTTAAAGTCAACGATTTATTAAGAAAATTTGAGGATTTACAAGATTAGTTATACACAATTGCATAAAGTTCTATTAGGCGAGCCCAGTACGCTGGGCGTTGGGCGTGTCCGGGACGTAAGTCTCACAGAACTAAGATTCACACATAAGCCCAAGGGCGTTTTACGAGTGCTCCGCCCTTGGGCGAGCCCCAGGCCAGTCCCAATTATGCCTTTTAAAACAGAGAGCCCAACACACTAAGAGGTCGTTTGGCAGGGAATATAAGAATAGTGCGGAATAAGGTGTATTAGTAATGTAAGCATTAGTTATGCATATATTACTCCTTATCTATTGTTTGGTGTGATGTATTAAAATTATAATAAATTGCATAATTTTTAAGAAAAATAGTTGTTTATAAAAATGCCCTCCATATTCTAAAGCTTTAAGAGACTTTAAGGATAATTTTGTCTTTAACCAATCTAATGCATGCATTAGTAGCCTTGGTATTACTAATGCCATAATTTTCTATGCATTACTTATACATAATATAATACCAAATATGATTTTAGTTATACACAAGTTAAAAAAAATATACCAAATAAGATATTAATAATGGATAGAGCTAATGCTTACATTATTTTTTCTAATAACCACCGCCAAACCACCCCCTAACAAATATAAACCCGGCCCGTGATTCACCACTTCAAGGGACTCGATTAAATGATCTGACACTGAACATAAGACAGCTAATTGCTACTAATTGTGATGATTAGAAGCCAACAAATTAATGTAAAATAACCAGTGATGAGTTGATGAAAGCGATTTCTAACGTCCCCTCAGTAAAAACGTCAGAATCAGCAGAGAGATAGCTAGCTATGGCGACCAGAGGAGGAGAGGACGAAGCGAAACAAATGGCAGCTGAGCTAAGCAAAACCCTAAAAGAAGGAGAAAGACTTCTCGCGCCAACCCGACGCCCCGACGGAACCCTCCGTAAACCCATTCGTATTAGGGCTGGTTATGTGCCTCAAGATGAAGTTGCCGTTTACCAATCTAAAGGCGCTCTTGTAAGTATACATTTGTGGTACATGTTGTTTTTGGTTTATTCTGTGTGTACTTGTGTTGATTAATTGGTGCTTTGGGAAATGGCAGTGGAAGAAGGAAATGGAGTCATTGCAGGATGTTCCGCCGGGGTATGATCCGGTGATGGAGGCTAAACCTAAGTCTAAAGCTGCCAAGCGGAATGAAAGGAAGAAGGAAAAGCGTCAACAGGTTCAAATTTGTTACTCCTCTCATTATTTCTTGTTTATTACCCTATTCTTTAGTCAGCTTTGTTCTAGTTACCAGAGGATTAGTTTACATGGCCTGAACAGTTTGTCGGGAAGATACTTATCTGTGTACCCGTGCATCCACCAAAGGTAAAAGGGCATCAGGGGCGGATGTAGTGTTATTGTTATGGGTTCATCCGAACCCAATAGCTTCACTCAAACTATGTATATGTGTTTAAAATTCACTAAGTAAGTATAATTAATAGATTCCGTACTCAGTAAATCAAATGGACTGTGGTAGAATCCCGAAGTTGAACCCATAAAATTCAAATCCTGGATCCGTCTTTGAAGGCCATGACATATGCTTTTACATAAGGTTTAGTATAACCATGGTTAATTAATACTATGTATTATTCGCTCAATTCGTCACCTAGTCCAGTTAAGTTTTTTCCCCAATTTGTTTGGTCAACTGTCATAGTTGGTATTGCATTAGTTGCAGTGTTGCAGATCTTTAATCAATATTATTTTCGACCAAATTATTCATTTTCTTCAACTATGAAACGACATAGACAGATATCTTATGGCATAATAATATAAATGCACTGAAAATCTTGATGGCATGAGTGATGTATATGATACTGCTGTAAGATATAAGGTAATATAATAATGAACTGCATTTCATGTGCATTATTCTTAATGTAATGCAATTATATTGCTAGCTTATGCAAGTGGGCAGTAGCTGCAGTTCATGATGAAAGATTATCGAATTAAATGGCATTTCATCGGGCTTCAAAGTTGGCCATACAACCATATTTGACCTAAGCTGGTTTCTTATAACGTGGTTTCAGTTGTAGTACCCCCAATGGCTCGTAGGTCTCTCTAATTGTGGATGCACCAGAAAAGCTAATAGTTATCAGTTCCCCAAATTCTTCTAATTCTAACTTGCTCGATAAAAACCTGGATTAGCAGAAAATTCCTTCACCAAAGCTGGCGAGCAAGAGCAAGGATGCATTCCCAGGCTATTGTAGTTCAGTCACAGTGTAATATGCGACAGCAAACGAACAACTAAAGTTAGACACCTTGTTATCGGATGTATGTTTTTATAACGAGCAGATATCTTATCAATGAAATAGCACCATGAAGGTGCAGTAAATTTATATATTTAAAATTACCACAAATGGCAATCACCTGGACTTCAGAGTATGACTAGGTTTTAGCATCTCTTGTCCCTCTCCCTCCACGAAAGCCCACAAAATGCAAGCTGGATGACGTACTATCTTTTGAATATATTTCTGTGGCTTTCTATCAACTGAGCTGAGGTATTTGCCATGGGGTATCTAGGCATTACCCTTTGAATCACCAATAGATTTGGAAAATATCTCACTTCTACCTTGCCAACCCACATAATGGGAAAAGATTATTAGGTTCCTCGATGTACCTTTTACACGAAGTACCTATTGCACGAAATGAGCGCATTTTCCTCAGGTTATACTGAGTTAGGCAGCTTCATGTACTGCTATCCAACCAAAATGGGAAACTTTTATTGGGGCTCTGCTTTGACTGGCAATTTCCAAGGCGATGACTTAGGCTTAGTGTCCTTGCAAGATTAAGCATATTGTAATAACATGTTCTAGAGTGAATTTCCCTGTACTGTTACCTTTTCTAGTTGATAAGTCAACCTTATGTCTAATCCAAATCCAGCTACCATTTGCATAGGTGAGATCAGAAATTACAACTCATATACAAATGTTAATCTCCCGAAAGATCTTTCAAACTATCTATACAAAGGGTATGTCCTCTTAATACCAAAATACAAGTAAATTAATGAAGAAATTCTAATCTCACCTCTTCCCAAATGACCTTCACTTTCATCCAATCTTACATCCTCAAACTTAGGCCTTCAGTTATGAAGATCAACACTGTATACAGGATGTAGTTTCTGGGACGATCATGTTGCGATATTAGTGAGAGGCTTTTTGATTAATCACAAATAAATAAATAAATATATTGAGCTTTGATGACTTAAAAACTGCATTGCTTTTCTGTCACAAATGTTGTGAACCAAATGCTGCTATAATTAACACAACTTGTGGCAGGCTGCAGTTGAGAAGGGTAAGAATCCAGAGAGTGGTGAAGTCTCATCTGCTGAAAATTCAGTTGGCGTTCCAGAGCAGGTTGAGTCAGTTATGTCCCAGATAAACAGTCTTGCGATATCTGCAAATCCTGTTGTCCCCCCTTCAAATTCAATCGAGTCTTCTGCCGTGGGAGATAGTGTGCAGGACATTGACAAAAAGATCCGAGCTCTGAAGAAAAAGGTATGTCCTCCAGTGCTTCCAGTTCTCCAAAGGCATGCCATCATTCAAGTTCTTTAACATAACTCAGATGCTTCTTACTGCATTTTAGAGATGCTCGGCTATCATCTTTGTTTTCCATGCCTTGGTGGAATTTATTATTCTACTTCACAATTAGATGGTGGAAAAAATTGTTGTTTCCATTTTGTACATCAAAATGGATGATTCGGTTTTGTTTCAAGGTAATGACATGTTTGTGCATTCTTTTTGAATCCATAACAACTGCATACATGTGCTGGTTCACCTCTATGTTGTATTTTCAGTCCAAGGTGCTCCCATCTCAACACTTTGGTCAAATGTCACATAGATGGGAATATCACCTTTGGAACTTCTTTTTTGAGAATGACCTCTTGGAACTGTCGAACTGTGACATGAGGACTTCCTTTGATTTCTACTAATGGTTCATCTTTCAAATACTACATATATTAGAATCTGGTCATTGGGTAGTTTTGGAAAGCGTTGGGTTTTTATTGGTAGTTTATTTGTACTATCAATCTGAGAAAAAAAACAATCTTTTAATCGCTGGTGATTTATCTGTACTACGTTCTCAGGGGGAGGGCGGCAAGATGCACTTAAAGGTCTCCATTGGAGCTTTAAATTTTTGTTGAGCTCACTAAATTAAACGCTGCTTTATTTGGTGCAGATTCGGCTGACAGAAGCTCAACAGCAGAAGACTGAGGAGAAGGATATGAAGTCAGAACAGCTGGAAAAAGTGGCTAAGTTGGAAAGCTGGCGAAAAGAGTTAAAGGTTTTGGAGGATAAAAAGGCTGAACTGGAAGCATGACATCATGAATTTAATTTTAGGCTGAAGAAACTCGTAGTTTAAGTTACGGTAGCCTGGTGGAATTTTACCACTGCATCAATATACTCAACGCCCAAGATGTTAAGGGAAATGTGTGTTTATCTTGTAATTTGTGCACTAGTTAGGGCAAAACAACACAGGATCTAGGGCGTGTTTGGTACGAAGTAAAATGTTTTTCAATTTTCCCATGTTTGGTTGGCTTGAATGTTTTGTAAAACATTTTCCTCATGAACTCATTTTCCTCTAATTGGAGGAAAATGTTTTCGAGAACGGAAAACATTTTTCAAAATTCTTTTTTAACCTTCCCATTCTATTTCTCATCCCCACCACCCACCAACTCACCCCACCC